CCCAAACCATGAAAAACAGCCCCAGACCATTATTCCTCCTCCACCAAATGTTACAGTTGGCACTATGCATTTGGGCAGGTAGAGTTCTCCTGGCAACCGCCAAACCCAGATTAGTCCGTCAGACTGCCAGATGGTGAAGCGTGATTCATCAATCCACAGAACGCGTTTCCACTGCTCCAGAGTCCCATGGTGGTGAGCTTTACACCACTCCAGCCGATGCTTGGCATTGCGCATGGTGATCTTAAGCTTGTGTGCGGCTGCTCGGCCATGGAACCCATTTAATGAAGCTCCCGACGAACAGTTATTGTGCTGACGTTGCCTCCAGAGGCAGTTTGGAACTCGGTAGTGAGTGTTGCAACTGAGGAAAGACGATTTTTACGTGCTACGCGCTTCAGCACTCGTGTTCCCGTTCTGTGAGCTTGTGTGGCCTACCATTTCGCGGCTGAGCCGTTGTTGCTCCTAGACGTTGCCACTTCACAATAACAGAACTTACAGTTGACCGGGGCAGCTCTAGCAGGGCGAACTGAGTTGTTGGAAAGGTGACATCCTATGACGGTGCCACATTGAAAATCACTGAGCTCTTCAGTAAGGTCATTCTACTGCCAATGTTTGTTTGTCTATGGAGATTGCATGGCTGTGTGCTCGATTATATACATCTGTCAGCAACGGGTGTGACTGAAATAGCCAAATCCACTAATTTTAAGGGGTGTCCAGATACTTTTGTATATATAGTGTACTTCTATGTGTGCTAAGGCGAGTGCACCCCCTCAACATTAACAGGACAGAGAAACCAAAACTTGTTTCTCACAAGTGTAGCAGGTTGTGAGCTCTGCAAACAACGTTTCCACACTCCGAGAATGAGTACGGTAAATTACTGTAATTAATACATGCAGTAACAGAAATTAATGTAACCAAATGACTTGAATGGTTGAACGGGACATTTCCTACTGGTGACGTGTGTAATGGGGAACTGATACAAATAAACTATCAAAGGGCAAACAATTCAAGGAAAATTTAATTAGGACTGAAAAAATATATAAAAACAACAGGGAAAGGTTGTTTCATGTGCTGAAAAAAAAAATACCCCAAAAATTTTCCCATACCCCACAAAAAGTTTATTTCTTAAAAATTTTTTTGCAAAAATTTTTTTACATCCTGTAGGAGCTTTTTCTAAAAGAAAAAAAAAATTTTTTCCCCAAATCACCAAAAGGTGTGGCATTTTCCAAAAAGCTGATTAAAAACAGCATTAAAATTCCCAAAGTTTTAACCCAAAAAAGGTGAAACCCCCGGGTTTGGGGGACTAAAGGCCACTCTTTAAAATTTTGCAGTTTTATTAAAAAATTTTCAACAAAGCCCCCCAATTTTTTGAGGGGGAGGGGAGGTCAATGGCCTCCCCCGCGGGGAACCCCAGAGGTATTTTTGGGGGAAGGAAAAAAAATTTTTCTTTAAAACCATAACCGCCTCCCCTTTTGGGGGGGTTTTAAGTTGAAAATTCCCAGTTTCCAAATGGCCTCACCACCAGCCAAGAAAATTTTTGGGGGAGAGGGTTTGGGTTTTCTTTGGGCCCAACGTGCCCGGGGGGTGGGTTAACCCTAAAAATTTAACAGCCAAATGGGGGCAACTTCCCAACAGGGCCAAAGGCAAAAGCCGGGATCAACTTGCAAGGGGTGTTCCACCCCAGAATAAGAAAAGAACCCCAGGGGGGAAAAAAAGGGACGGGGAAAACAGAGAAAACAGCGAGGAAGGAGGGAGACAAAAAAAGCGGGGGAGAAAAAAGAGAAAGAAAAAAGGAGAAAAGAGGGGGGGGCGAAACCGGGCGGGGGGAAAAAGCGAGAAAGGGGAGCGAAAAGCGGGGGCGGGAGAGAAAAGAGAGGGGGGGCCCGGGCCCGGGGGCAAACCCGGGCCCCCGACCGAGGGGAACCAAAAAAGCGGGAGCCCCCCGGGGCCCCCCGGGGGGGGCCGGAAACGAGGGGGAGGGCCCCCGCGCCCGGGGCCCCGGGCCGAAAAAGGCCCCCGGGGCGAGGGAAAAAGACGGGGAGACGGGAAAGCGGGGAGGGGGGGGGGCCCCCAAAGGGGGGACGGGGGCGCACAGCAGGGAGGGGAAGCGGGGAGGCGCAAAAGGCGAAAGGGGGGGGCGGAGGGGGGGGAAACGGAGCAAGAGGGGGAAAGAGAGCAGGGGGCGAGACCCCGGGGGAAACCGAGAAAGCGGGCAAAACCGGGAGAACGGGGGGAACAGAGGAAAGGGGAGAAAAAAGCGGAGGGGAGCAAAGGACGCGGGGCAAAAAAGGGAAAAAGGGGGGAAAAGGGGAGGGGGAACAAACGGAAAGAGGGGACAAAGGGAAAAAAGGGGGAGGAAAACGGGGAAACGGGCGAAAAAACCCCCGAGAAAAAAGGGAGAAACCGGAAAGGGGAAAGGAAAAGGGGGAAAAGGGAAAAAGAGCGAAAAGGGTAAAAAGGGGAAAGGGGGAAAAAGAGAAGGGGGGGCGGAGGGCGGCAAAAGGAGAACCCCCGGGAAGGGGGGACCCCCGAGAGGGGGCGATTGGGAAAGGGAGGATGGCGCGGGAAAAGGGGGGGCCCTCCCCGCTCTCCATCTTTCTCCCCTTTTCTACCCTCTTTCTCTCCCTCTCCCTGTGATACCTTTTTCCCTCTTTCCGACCTCTCAGAGAATTCAGAGGGAAAAAGAAAAGGAGAAAACAGAAAAAAGAAAAGGAAAAGGGGACAAAAAATAGACAGAAAACGTGTTTCTATTTTTGGGGAAAAAGCCCGTTTTAGATTATTTTTCCCAGACGAGAAAACAGAGACAAACAGAACACAGTAAAGGGGGAAGTTTTCGTGGGAAACGCATAGGTTCCCAAGGGGAAACTGCGACAAATTGACGTAATAGCCAGGGGGTTTTCCCCCCTTTTAACTCAGAGGGGAGAAGAGGCCGTACGTGTGGCGATTATGTCCCAGTAATTAATATCAGCAAGATTGCTCGGGCTCAGTAAAGACTTGCTTTATTCACTGAGTTTAAAAATCAGAAAAAAACAGTGAAAAATTTATCAGAAATATAGAAAACATCAATCATATCAGTTATAGAGAGGCAGTTACAACAGGTTTTAAAACAGAAAAATAGAAAAACATTTAAAATTTCAGTAATATAGAATAAATCAAGTTACAGTAATACAGAATAAATCAAGTTAGTAATATAGAATAAATCATGGGTTTCTGTTTAAAATAGGGAAATTTAATTAAGTTAGTAATATGAATAAAATATTTTTTAATGTAAATAGAATTAATCAAGTTAGTAATATAGAATAAATCATGTTACTGTAATATAGAATAAATCATGTTACTGTAATATAGAAAAAAATCAGGGTTTCTAAATAGAAAAATTTATGTTACGTTAAAAGAATTAATCAAGTTAGTAATAAAATTTGAATAAATAAAGTTACGTTTAAAAGAAATTTAAACAAAATTGTAATATAGAATAAATCCGGGTTTCTGTAATTTTAGAATAAAAACATTACTGTAAAAAGAATAAAAATGTTCTGGAATATAGAATTTAAAAAATGGGAATGTATATGGGAATTTTAAACAAAGGGTAATATAGAAAAAAATATGTTACTGTAATATGAATAAATCATTTACGGTTTAAAATAGAAAAATCAAGTTAAAAGGGAAAAATAGAATAAATCAAGTTACAGTAATATAGAACACATCAAGTTACAGTAATATAGAATAAATCATGTTACAGTAAAAGAATTAATCAAAATTTTCATTTAAAAATAGAAAACAAGTTTTACAGTAAAACAGAAAAAAATCAAGTTAGAGTAATATTTGAAAAAATCAATTACAGTAATAAAAATAAAAAACAAGTTACAGTTTAATAAAATAAATAAGTTACAGTTAAAAAAAATAAATCAAGTTACATAATTTTGAATAAACAATAACAAAATATAGAAACAAACAAGGGTTTCGGGGTATAGAATAAAAACAAATTATGGGAAAAATTAATAAATAGTTACTGTAAAAATATAATTTAAAACAGTTAAGTAATATTAAAAATCAGTTACGGGGGTAATTAAAAAAATCAAGTTTACAGTTTAAAATAGAATAAATTTAAAATTACTGGGTTCAAAAAATACAGAAGGGGATAGGGAAGAGGAAAAGGGGAGAGGGGGAAGAGGGGGGAGGGAGGGAGAGGGAGAAGGGGGGGGAGGGGAGAGGGAGAGGGAGGGGGAAAGGGAGGAGGGAAAAGGGAGAGTGGGGGGGAAAAGGGAAAAAGGGGAGGGGAGAGGGAGAGGGAAAAGGGGGGGAGGGGAGAGGGGGGAGGGAGGGGGGGAGGGGGGAGAGGGGGGAGGGAGAGGAGAGGGGAAAGGGAGAGGGGGAGGAAAGAGGGAGGGGGGAGAGGGGGGGAGGGAAAGGGGAGGAGAGGGAGAGGGAGAGGGAGAGGGAGAGGGAGCAGGAGAGGGAGGGGAGAGGGAGAGGGGAGGAGCGGGAGAGGAAGAGGGAGAAGGGAGCAGGGAGAGGGAGAGGGAAGGGAGAGGGAGACGAGGGAGAGGGAGAGGGAGAGGAGAGGAAGAGGGAGAGGGAGAGGGAGGAGAGGGAGAGAGGGAGAGGGAGAGGGGAGGGAGAGGAGGAGCGGGGAGAGGATGAGGGAG